GACCCGGTTGAAGCATGGTCCTTTTGGGTTGCCTTCACCAAAGCAACTTGACTGGATGAATAATAGAGAAAGAGGTTATTATGGTTTATTAATATATAATATGAATAATATATTAAAGGAGAAATCATATTTGTTTAATTAATACTGGTCAAGAATTAATTAAGAAATTAATTTTGTGATCAAAAGATATTAATTAACGCTAAGGGACTAATATTGTAATTATTGGATAGTTGCAAAGTAGGGTAAGGAAACCCTAGAGATAGGGTGGACGAATTCTTGGGGATAAAGCCTTAGAATTCGTACAAGGTAGGGATTCCAGAACATTCTTATGGGCTGCTTAGAGCCTAAGCAACTGGATAAGTGTTTGACTGAAACCCTAATTCCTCACCTATATAAAGGGACCCTTGGCCACCTAAATTCGGCTACACCAACCCTACAAGAGTTCTAAGAGCCGAATTTTAGCCTTCCCCTCTCTTTCTAAAATTCCCCATTTCTTTGGTGTTTGTTATTCATCAGAGGCACAACATTTGGGGTGTTAAGATTCTCAAAATCTCAAGTTCTTCAAGCATCAATAAAAGCTAATGTTCTAACTAGTTCATTAGACATGATTTCGATTTTTATGATATTCTAGAATATGGTTTTGTAAGTCTTGGACAATAATGCATGTACAATTAGAAAAACTAGATCCAAGCATTAGGGTTTGCATGAACACCATAGGAATGTTGTTTTGCTCAGAACCCATCAGTAACACCTTGTTTTCCAGGTATTTCTTTTATACCCTTGTTATAAGAATTCTTGGCAAAAAGGGTCCCTAGTTGTGTTTGAAGAAAAATGCATCTTCAGTAGAACGCTATGCGTTGGGGATGTTATTCGTCCATTATAGACGCCATGCGTTCTCGGACGGGACTTAAAACCCTAATTTTAGGGTTTGGACCCTATTTAAGCATCATTATAGCCTCCCACGTTTCCTTAACTTCATCCCCCTCTCTATTTCGAAACCCTAAGTGTGTTTTAAAGCTTGATGTGCCTTTTTGGTGCCATTTTGGTGTTCTTGGTGGTGAAGAAAGGATCTTGAAGTTGTGGTGTTTCACTCAAGGCATTGGATCCATCATCTACTCTCCCTTGTGCATCTTTTGGAGGTATAAAGCTCCAACCTTGATGAGTTTTCCTTTAGATCTTGTTTTAGCTTAAAAATTACTCCTTTTTGTCCCACATCTTCATCCTTGTGAGTATGGAATACTCTAGGACCTTTGAGTTGTCCTTTCAAATGTTTTGAGGAGTGATAAGTCATAAAAATGTAGTCTTGGTCATTGGTTTCTTTCCATGCATGAACTAGGATGTCTTTTTGGATTAAGAAGTGAGGGTTTTTGGTATTAAGCACTTATTATCCATACAAGACCATAAAGTTGGAAACTTTATGGTTAAGGTCGTTAGTTTAGGTCTAGATCTGGAATTTGAGCAAAAGAGCATAAGAATTAAGCTCTTAATGGAAGGATATGGGAACAGCTGGAGAATGCTATGCGTTCCCCAGAGAGCGCCATGCATTGGAGAACGCTATGCGTCCGTTCTGGACGCCATGTGTTCTCAGTTGGGTTGACTTTTTAACTTTTGACTTTTTGACCAAGTTTGACCTAAGGGTATTTTGGGTATTTTGAATTATAGTTGAGTTTGGTCAAATGTCATTGAATAGATGTTCGGTTGAGCTACTCTCGGAGCAGAGTCATGTTCAACTATTATTTCTTTTGTCTGTGAGGTGAGTCTTCTTAACACTTTAAGTGGGTCGAAGGCACCAAGGCCAACCTACTATAGTGTATGAGTAGAATGTATGCTATTGTATGATGTTGTCGGATGTGATTGCATGATTTATATATGGAGCTAATATGGGATCGGAGTCACTATGGACTCGGCGTTGAGACGGACACGGGGGTTGATACGGACCCGACACAGCTATTCGTTGTTATTTGGGGTTGATACGGACCCGAGGGTTGATACGGACCTGACACAGCCACACGTTGTTATATTATATGTATGATGTATGTGGTATTTTAGGGAAGCTCACGAATCTTTGTGCTTACAGTTTGTTTGTGGTTTCAGGTACTTCTGGTACGAAAGGGAAGGGGCCGATTTGGTCGCAGCGCATCCACCCGTGTTCCACATTTTCTTTATGATTTGGATTTGTACTCTGATGATTACTATTATTTGACATAATTTGGTTGGTTTCTTATGAATACTTGATGGTTTTCGATTAAAATAAAAATGAAAATTTTATCACTGTTTTTGGGACGTTACAAATCTTTATTGTATTTAATTGACTGCTCATTTAGGTATCGTATCAATTATGTTTTCATTGATGTCGGGGGTAATCCTTTTGTCCTATTAAATCACCCATGAAGTCGTTCTCATCATCAATCATAACTACATCTTCATGAGCATATGTTTGACTTTGAAAAGAGTCGATATTGTCAAACTTTGCTTTGTAGAAATAGAAAAATTCTCAAATCTTTTTTGAAGACCCCGCATTAAGGCCTATTCTTCAAACCGACTTATGAGTTGAGCGTGATATCTTTTTGTGTACTTTTCAACTTAATTAACTTCTCAAATGCTTGTTGAAGAAACTCAAACTTGAACCGTGGATCTAATATGACCGCAAGATACAAAAATTCATTTAATTTTTCAAGGTCACCTCAATAATTATCGTATTTTTCAAATCATGTCCTTGTCGGTCAGTCAAAATTAGGGACTTGCCACCCATTCCTTAATGTGTTTGTACAAAAAACGTTGTGTCATCGGTTTTAGTGACTTCGATACTATGTCGGTTTTCAGTTTTAATTTCTCGAGAAATCCAACCATAGGTCTACAAATATTGAAATCTTCTTCTACGGGGGTCAAAACATCTCGCACATATGTAAGATCTATAACAATAAAATAAAAGTTAAGAAAAAAACAGATTTAATACCCTCTGTTTAGGAGCCTGTATCTTATTGAATATACAACCAAAAAATGCATTTAAATTGTATAAACAGTAGTTTAAATTGTGAACTACAAGCTGGAAAAAAATCAGGCAAATTAGGAAAATAACGAAAACGCTATGACAGATCAAAGTTGCCCTAAAATTCTGCAAACATGTTGAAGCATAAAACTCAACTTCAGTACCCCCTGTTTAGGGGTCTATATCTCATTGAATATATAACCAAAAATGACATATAAACTATGCTTAAATTGTGAACTACAGGCTAGAAAAAAAATCAAGCAAATCGGGCAAATAACGAAGACGTTATGACAGTTCAAAGTTTCCCAAAATTTCTACAAACATGCTGAAATTAAATAAATAAATAAATAAATAAATTGGAACGGAATGCAATATGAAATTACCTTTAACTTCAAACTTGTCAAAAACCTTCTCCAACTCCACCACAATCTTCAATAACTCGTATGTGGAGTTTCATTGGGTTAGGCTATCATTGCACAAAAACATCTTGGATTCCACATTTAGTTCTTTCATGCATTCTTTGAATCTTCGAATCCGTTGTGTGGAGTTCCTAATGTATTTAATGGCCCTTTTTATGCACTTAATACTTGATTGGTGTTAATCAAATCCAACCCTAACAATAAAGTTAAGTATGTGGGTCATACACCTTACGTTTAATTGTCCCCCCCCCCCCCCCACTACTAGAAAAACAGCCTTTTATGACGCGCAATGCGCGTCGTAAAACGCTCAGACGACGCGCAAATGCGTGTCAAGGAAGGCCTTGTCATAACGAGAGACACACGCTTTTGCACGTCGTCTATAGACGACGCGCATTTACGACGCGCATTTACGACGCACATTTATGACACGCATTTATGACGCGCATTTACGACGTGCAATGCGTATCAAGGAAAGCTCTGTCATAAAGGAAGACGACACGCATTTGCGTGTCGTAACCTTACGACGCACGTTTAGGACACGCATTACGTATCATTAAAGCCCCTGTCATAAATTAAGATGACACACATTTGCGTGTCATAAACTTCAGCAACCATTTACGATATACATTTACGAAGTGTCTTTACGATACTCATTTACGCATAATACAAAAATATGGAAACAAATATATACCAAAAAAATCAATTTCATCCATAACATCATGTCAAAAAATTGTAATACATTGGTATTAAGGGTATCCGATTGTACATTGTTATTAAGAGGTTTTTCCTAACTATATAACCTAATACTACATTGCTATTAAGGAACACCTTGTTTCTACTTCTTATTGTTATGCTTCTGTTTCCACATGATACCTGTTTCCAAGACAAGTAAACTTGCTCTTATTGGTATTAAGGGTATCCGATTGTACATTGTTATTAAGAGGTTTTTCCTAACTATATAACCTAATACTACATTGCTATTAAGGAACACCTTGTTTCTACTTCTTATTGTTATGCTTCTGTTTCCACATGATACCTGTTTCCAAGACAAGTAAACTTGCTCTTATTGGGACTGAGAGAATTTAGATATAACAACAGTGTTATATTTAAAGGAATAAAAAAAGTAGGAATGTAAGGGAAACAGTGAATTCAGAATAGAATTAACAACTCATTCCATTACCCCTTTCATCATAATTCCATTCCATCCAACCAAACAGTTCCCCAAGTAATTAACACTTTCATACCTCATTCAAAAGGGAGTTTGCATCACAATGACTGATGGAGCACAACTGATTTGTATGTCTTGATTCTGATCGAACTGAGAAAGCAGGAAAACTTAATGTGAAAAAAAAAAATTTTAGTCTATATTACAAGTTGAAATGAACTTCATGAGAAGCGTGCATTAAGGAGAAAAGAAAAGTATGCCTGTAATTATAGTTTTTCACTTGTCAAATACTGTCTAGTTTAACAGCCTTGAATCCAACCTCATCACTTGTCAAATACAACCACCGCCTTTAAATTTTAAAATAAACATCATAACATATTTACATTGCATGTCTTTCTTTGTATAATAATGTATATATACTCAAATTTTAATTTAATTTACTCCAGACCTGATTCCCATACACTCTGGAAATCTGTTCTAAGCTGCTCTTTCCCGTTTTTACCTGAAAAAAAAAAGTACATGAATTATAGTAATCATTATATATGAAATGAAATATAAAGAATGAAAGTTAGTTGCCTACTCCTGTTTTTAGATACTCTTCTGCAGCATAAACAGCATCACTCCCGATAGATATCTTATCTGCACCAGATCTGAAATATTCTGAAGCCACCTCCAAACTAGAATAGTACATATATTATTAATATTATAAACACTTATTAAATTCTTCACAACAACATATTACATATTACATATTTACAATTAACACTTAACAGTACCTTCCATTTGCATCAGTGAAATCTTTGATACCACCACCAACTGTAAGTGGTACAAAAACATTCTCTGATGTGTATTCAAAAAGCTAACCTGCAACATGTTACAACTCAGTAATAGAATGACTCATTCCATTCCATTCTATCCTAATACCTAATATGTAATATGTAATTTGTAATATGTAATATGTAATATGTAATATGTAAGAAAGAAAAGACAGTAATTAAGTACCTCATCAGCCCCATCTAAGTAATACTGTCCAGCAAGTTCAACTGGCTTCCCCAGGTTCCTCACCTATCACACCATTTATTTATTCAACAAAAACTTCTTACAAAAATACAGACTGCTATTGTGGTGCTGCTGTGGGACTGCAATCGATGTATATGAAAACTTTTCCTTTGTCGGGGGCTGAACAACTTGGTCTTCCTAATTCAGACTGCTATCAACAAAGTTCAAACATAACAAAAGCTGATTACAACCTAGAGAATTAATATCTAATGGAATAAAAGAATCTCCCCCAACTTAAAAAAAAAAGGAAGGCTTCTGATTGGATTTGGGTTCTCACTGTGACATCATCAATACAACCTTCCTCTTCCTCCGGCTGTGTTGCTGTAACAATTAAAACCAACATCAAGTTTAGGAAGCTTGTGCAGCCACTGCTTCCTACATCATAAATCAGAAAAAATAAACACTTTAATAGAAAAACAAAGCACGTGTAACAAGAAGATCAAGGAAGACATGAATCACATTTTAATGACAAACACACTTCACATTCAATAAGAAAAAAAACAGGCGTCCTTGGAGAAGGTAAGTCTAGCCTAGTAGAGTGCATGATGCTTTTCCAGGAATGGTGATTAACTGAAAGGCCATTGGACAGCAGATCAGACTGAATCCAGGCTATGAAAAAGTCATAATTACAAAAGTAAATCACACATTTGGTCCCAGTGCTTTACCAAACTTGTGATTTTGCCACCAAATTTGTAATTCACTCTAAAAAAAAAGTCTTGTCAACTCTGTTTTGCACAGCAACCAAACACTCTCTGAGTAAGTTTTAAGATCTAATACGTGCATGTGTGAAATACAATAGAGATAGCCTAAGATATCTTGATAGATAAGCGTAACACATTTGCTACGATAATTATAAATAGAATTTTCAAATTCTGACTTGAAATTATTGTGCTTCACGGAAATCTAGATGCTATAACTGACTGGTTCGACATATATTTACCTTCTCTTGTGAAGTTCTACATGCATAATCTTTTAGAGAAAGATGTAGCTGGAAGGACTACACTACACACTAATGCAAACTGAATGAGAAATTGATAGCCATGAGCATTATGAATGTCTTGTTATGTGACAAGTGATTTACATCTCTCTTCCATTCAAGATTCATCTCAATTTTACTCAAATACCCCCACCACTCCCTCTTGTTAGTAATCTAACAAGAAATGATTGCAGACGGTTAACTTTTAACAGGTTTCTGTTAATTCTGTTAACAGGATTCTGTTAGGTTTCCGATTTCACCACCGGGGCTGGGCATTCTATGTCAGCAGTACCATTCATGGTTTCACTGTCCATCCTGGCAGTCCAGCTCCTCCTATTCCTTCGTTCCTGTTTTCAAAAGTCAACCATGTTGAAAATCGATCAAAATAACATATTAACAGAGGGTAGTTTTGTCTTTTCAGCATATGATATGACATATTAACATATGATAGATAACATTTATTTTAAAATGATGTTTAACATGTTCTCTAAACTATTCCATTTATTCTATAAAAGTATACCTGCTTTAGGTAGCATATAACTCCAACATTCACTAGCTCCCCAACATCACTTTCTGTACTTTGTGAAAGCTTTTCACCATCTACCCATTGTGTAGTAAGAACTTTTCTTGATGTGTATTTAGTGTAAGTCTTTGGTATCACAATCTGGAATAGGATAACTTATTAATATGTAATTATGTATCCTTCAAAAAGACACAAAATGCATTCAATTAAAGGGTAAAAACTTACTTGTGGAAGGTCTTTTTTCATCATCTCTGCAAAATATGTTCCATTTTCACCCTCATTAATATAGTCAAGCTCCTCAAAGAAACGTGCAGCCCATTCATCAACTAACCCAACAACATCCAAAAATATCTGTAAATTGAAAGAAACAAATAGTCAAATAACATTAACCACTTGTTTTCTAGCCTCAGATAATCAAGAAAAACAATGCATGTTATGTGGAACTGAATTTTGACAAATATTACCTGAGGAAAACGTCGAAGAGCCAATCCTAAGTTCCTTATGATGAATAAATCAACAGTTACTGTTTCAAGTACATAAGGCCTTTGTACCTTAACAGCAACCAAATCCCCATTTTCCTTTAATCTACCCTTATACACCTGCCCAAGTGAGGCTGCTGCTATAGGAGAAGTTGTGAGCTCTGAATAGATGTTTTGCCATGGCTCTCCAAGTTCCTCTTCTAGAAGTGCCATTTTTGTATTTTTTTAGATTTGTTTTGTCGCTAGAAAATGATTTGACAGTAATATCCAAGACAACTGAAGTTGCTATAAAGGATTTTAGTTCAGGTTCATCTGCACCCATATTCAAAGAGGAGGTAATAATATTATTTATATATTTTTTAGATTTTCAAAGTTGACTACTTTTTTAGTATATAGTAAATTGTGATTATAAGTTGGAGGGGTTGTTTGTGAATTGCAGATAAGACGGAGGGTTAAACAAGTACCCCTGGCATTCAACAAGACCACACCTACTTCCTTGTTCTCAGAGACTGATTTTTCTGGTTGGATTTTCCAATCAAGCGATTGTTAACAAAGACACTCTTATAATAGGAAATTGATGCTTCCATTTTTTACTTGTTTTGTTGTCATATTTTTTTTTATATTATGTAATACATGAGTTTTAAGTGAACTAACTTATCGATGTGATGTGATGGAGAAACATTTGACAACATCATGTCAAATATTATGTATGGATACTGTAATGTACAGAAATTCAAGGGATTTGAAGCCAAGCTCATCCGACAATTTTGTTTTTTGGAAAATTTTATTTTAAATTAATAACTATCATCTATTATATAATTAGTAGTTTATGGATGCAAGTAAATTTTTATATAACGATTATATTTTGAGTACCGGATACACCACAACTATTGAAAGTACCCACGACAAGAGCTTGTAAATTTACAAAAATCTTTGGTTTTAAAACAAATTTTACAATTTTTTTTTAATTTTAAAGCATCCATACAGCATTCACACAGAATGTCTCATTTAAAATTAGCAATTAAAATACTTATAAATATTTAAAATTAAGCTCTATATCAATATAAATAGTTTAAAAGGCTAATTGATAGCTTTTTTAATTTAAAAAAAAATTAAAAACAAACATTTAATTTTTCATGTTCAAGACGTTTGATGGCCTCTTAGGTCTTAAACTCTTAATTATTCATAACCCTCTTAATTGTTAAGAGAGGGAATGTATATGAATAAAAAGAAATTGTTTTCAAAAATATGTTCTTCTCTGTATCTGAACCTGTGGCCTCAGATCCTGAAGTAAGATTGATTGCTGAAGTAAGAGACAAAGATATTTTATCCTCCTAGCTAGTTTGAGTGATTGTATGATGTTACATCAGCACTGACACAAATCAATTTAATCAGAAAAATCATAAATTTCAATTATAATTTAAATATAAAACTAGGTAAAGCAACAAAATATCATGGTTTTGAGTTTACCTTCGTATGAACTTGAAAATGAAGGACAAACAAAGTTCAGCTGCCTGATATGCAAAATCTTCTGTTTCAAAAAAATCCTTAGGGCAGTTCTGAACAATCTGTAAATAAAAACAACTTTCAATTCAGTACAAATACACAACTATGTCATAAATTGAATGTCAAAAATACAAGAAATATTGAGAATTATAAAAAAAAGGAAAGATAAACATGCCAATGTATCTTCCATTTAATTTACCTGTGACAGAACTGAGATTGCATGGCTATCCAATATATCCTCCATAAATATGTAATATGAAAAAACTTGCATCCATAAGTTTAACCTTGATCAAAAGCATATAAGAGAGTATAGTATATTTGGAGCCTGTGAAATCAACTTTACCAAAAGATTCTTTGTTCTCACTCCACTCTAAACTTGAGATGAAGTCAACCATTTATGGTGGGCACTTCCAGCCTTGAACAACACCAAGCATTTATAATTCATTGGAGATGAAACCATAAACCAAATCAGGACCGGATCAACTGCATAAAGATATAAAAGATAGTTGTAAAACTGGAAGATGTTTGTTTAGGATAAGCAATAATAAGCTTCGAGAAGAGGCACTAACCAGGAAGATAACATAAATGAATCAAGGTGGCAATTCAACAAACAGTTGGTGTGCACAACCAAAATGCACATAAAAATAGAATTCCTCTACATTTTAAAGGCTTGAAAACTAATAGCTAAACAATGAACAAAGCTTAACATGAATACGGTGGGAGGAACTAGGAACCATGAAGCCCTATAAATACAAAAAAAGCATTCAACACCATTGAATCCCTGTTCATCAGCCATACAAACACACCCTTATCTCTCCATCACAGAACAATCACAAAACATCATATCCTCAACACCCATTTACAACCTTGAAGCGCCACCTCACAACCTCACATTCAAATCGAAAAAAAAAAGAAATAACAAGAAGGGAGAAGAAGGGGGTGTAATCGAACCAGAAAAGGAAAAAACAATACATGTGGTTCTTGGAGGTGCGATCGATTTTGAGAAAAGAAAAAGATAACTGGGGAATTTAGGTGACCTGGTTTGTCGATCGAAGTGTGAAGAGGGAAGAAGACATCCGATCGATTAAAGGGAGAAGGAAGGTATGAATTTTTGGATGTTGTGGTTGTTAATCGATAATTAAGAAAGGGAAGAACGAGATGCAAGAAGGGTTTGAACATACCATTTTTACGATCTCTTGTAAGCGTGAGAAGTTGTTGTGAGCTCTAAGAATTATGTGAGGTCCGGTTCAAAGCCCTAGTATCTTTATTGATTATGTGAAGATGGGCCATATGCCAAGATAAAAAGATGAAGACGGACCATATCTGAAGAATTTTGGGCAAAGGTATGGTTAGATCTGATTCAAAGCGTATCTATAGATATCAAAGCGGCCATGGAATTTGTAGAGCTTCATAAATTAGGTCATGGAAAAGAGAAGGGGTTTTTGGCTGGTAGAAGATGAGAATAAGGCGAGGGTTTTAATTTCTTGGGATTTGATTTCCCCCCTAGATATTAAAGATGCAGAACGCGCGTTTGATGAAAACTTTATAAAACGACATGCATAGATGACACGCCTTTTATGCTGAGTGCCCTCCGTGTTTTTAATTTTTTTTTGTTCTGACACTAATTTTAAGGGCACGCAAAAATGAGTGTCCTAAATCCTTCAAATTTTAGAAGAGATGATATTATTTTTAGGACACACGCTTTTGCGTATCGTAAATCACTGCGTGTCATGGTTCGCGTGTCATTAAAGGTCTATATTCTAGTAGTGCCCCCCCCCCCATCGTATAAGTTTGGTAGTTTTTTCATTAAAAATTCGATTACTTTATCATTTGAACTAGCATTGTCTATTGTTATGATCATTATGTTGGATTAGGTGTCTAAGCTCATAACTATAATTGGTATATACTTGACTTGATAGTAGCACAGTCATTTTGAGTTGCACTCAAAACTAGCAACTAGACAGGATGACTTTTGGAGAGAGATATTGATTTATTATTTGATTAATAAATTAAAATAAATAATTTGTTAATATATTATTATAATAATAATATATTAATTAGAAATAGTAATATGTAGTTAATATTTAATCAAAAATTAATTAGTATTAATTTTGGGATTAAAGAATTAATTAAAGGGCAAATGTCATATTAGCCCATCGAACTTATCGTGTTTGTTTTAAAAGGTCACCCAACTTTTTTTTTGTACATTAAGGGAATGAACTCTCGTTTAACCTGTTAAAAAAGTCACTTAACCGACCATAGTAGGTTTTAGTCTCATTGTAGCCTCATTTCGTTTTCTTATACCCCAATCTTTCAATCAATCCGAACCATTACCCTTTAAATACATCTCTTCTTCAACGCCACTCCAAAAATGGTGAACACCATATCCAAAATCAAAAAAACCCAGAACACCAAGAACAACCAGTCAACAACTTTAATAGATTCAAACGATGATGTTTTAATTGAAATCCTTTTCCGACTTCTTGTTGCCTCTGTTTTGCAATTCAAATCTATATCCAAACACTGTCGTTCCCTTTTGAGTGACCCGCGTTTCACCCTCCTGTATAAAAAATCATCAATCTCTCTTGGCTTCTTTTATTACAATATGTATATCTGATTTGTGATGTATTCAATCCCAACACCAGGCAATTTGTAATCATCCCATCGGTTCTTGGAGGCAAGGATGTTGGTAAAAATACCCGTTTTTATGGGTCTGGCATTTCATCGAACAGATTGTGTACACTTCAAAGTTTTTTGTTTTAATCTTGTTAAGCCTAAGGAGGACCTATTTCATATTAAAATCTATTCGTTTGAGACATGAAAATGGAAGATTTTAGATGAATCTATTTGTGAATAGATCGTAATTAGAAATGGATTTCATGGTTGCAATCGAAGGTTTTAATTGATTTGAGATGAAGAACAGTTCAAAAATCAATGAAGATAAACTAGATGAATTTAATGACTCAGTGAAATTGAAATTGATTTTGAAATCGATATCTGAACCTGATATCAAATAGAATTTTTGAAGTAATGAAGTTTCACAGTCGATGCGATGGACATGGTGTCGGAACGAAGGCATATTTTCTCAATTCCATGAAGGCTTCGTAAATCATATGAGTTTGCTGTTTGATGGGTCTTGCAAATTGAAGCTACATTTGTAGTGATGGGTTCTGTTTGAGACTCGCATTTGTGTTGACTCACAATTTGGGTGTATGATTTGTAATCGGAATGAAGGGTTGATTTGAAGGATAATTCTGGATGGTCAACAGTGTTTAAGGCATACATTTTACAGGCTTACTCGGTATCAGGTCACATAATGATGTTTTAAAACAGAAAAATAAGAGTTCATTCCCTTAATGTACAAAAAAAAAGTTGGGTGACCTTTTAAAACAAACACGATAAGTTTGATGGGCTAATATGACATTTGCCCTTAATTAAAAGTGTAGGGACTGAACTGTAACTGTTCAATAATTGAGCAAAAGGCAATTTTGAACCCTCCGTAAGGCTTGGATGGTTTCTTAGAGCCTAAGGGATTCTAGAATAATCCCTGATGGATAAACAGGAAGGTGGATAATTACCCAGTTTAAGATAAACTTGGCTTTAGACTTATCTAGGGTTTCCTGACTGCACTATAAATAGAACCATAACCCTAAGAATTTCGGCTACTCATTCTTTTGAAGAGATAGCCGAAATTTCTACCCTCCGTC